CATCCTGTCTTATTTGGAATTACGAAAATGTCATGGATGCAGCTGACAGAAGTGGGGTTAGTCCCAACCATTTGAAGTCTTGCTCATATATCTGATCCTGAGTTGTTTTCCAGGCTGTGAGCCTGACCATTGATATATGCAGGATCACTGTCTCATTGTCATTCAGGGATATTGTCTGCCTTCCCACCCACCCCCTGGGGAGGGAGGAGACTTCCCCTCTGTCAGGAATGATTTTGGCGTTTATTACATCCACAACCTGAGCTTTTGTGGGTTGTGACTAGACCTCCACGAAGGGGAGCCTGTGAGTACCGTCTGGGACATGGATACACAGGATTCCTGCCTCCGAATCGACCTTCGAACAGATTAGGGGAACCAGTATCTGTGTTAGCTTCTTCTTCGCTTTATCTTTGCGAGTAAGAGTTTTTAATGGCAAGGCGAAGCTCAAAGCTATTTTCTCCTGTTTCTGCTGGAAAGGTCTTTTCTTTCGGTGTGGTGAGTCCTCCTTTTGAAACCCTTCCTCATTGCTGAGGCTGGCCCGAGGGATCGTTGTCTCGTCGTTCGCTTTCCGACGCTTAGCGGGAGTCTCTCTCTCTGTTTTCTCCGAGGTTTTCCCGTCCGGTTTGTAGGGCCTGTTGGACTTGCATCCTTTTTTCTTTTTTATTCCATGAGCAGGCCTGACCTCTGTTATCGCGTTGAAGAGCAGGGGTATTGGATGGGGGTCAACGTCCACCTTCCCCTGAGCCAGACCCTGACCCTCTTCGGGGGACTTAACCTTCTCCTCAGTGCCCACTTTCTCTTCTTGTGCGGAACGTGAGGGCGGCCTGTCTGAGGTGGGGCCCGCCTCTGTTCTGGGGATTGTGAAACCCAAGTTGCCCCCTTCCATTATCTCTTTCAACGCCTCCAGGTTGACTGGGGGGAGGTTTGGTACCGGTGACGAGGGGTTTGGTTCTTGGTCGGGGGGATTTGGTGCTAGGGTGGAGGATATTTCCATCTCCATTTGACCCTGGCTCCCATCAGGCTGAGTGCCCACGGGGTTTACTTGTCTGAGCTTTTCCCCCCCCTCCTCCGAACCCTCCTCCACATCTTTCCCCTTCTGTCCCTCCCATTCCTTCGTCCTGGAGGAGTCGTTCGAGGATGTAGGGGCCATAGACTTGGGTCTAGCTCCCTCCTTTTTCCTCCATGAGAGGTTATTCGCTTTCTTTTTTCAGTTGGTTCTGATACGGACTCTCTTGTCCGTGGCTGTAGCCTCGGCCCTTGCTGTTGCGGCAGGTGGCTTCTGGTTACGCCTACGGGCGAGATTGAGGCCTTGCTCTGAGTCAGTATCCTCTTCCTGAGAGGGAATAACGCACGCAGGTTTGTCCTTGCTTACCTCAGAGGGTTTTGGGAGGGGGGTTGTGGGAGTTGTGCCATGCTCTACCACCTCCTTCCCCTTTTTAGGATCTCTCGGGACATGCCCTCCTCCCTTACCTTTCTGTGAGAGCTTGTCCCCCTGTGCTATGTTATTTACTACTACCTCCACGAAGGATTTTTTCCCTGCTGAATTTCTTAGTTTAATCGAGCATTCAGGGTCATCCTCCGCATAGAAGTACTTACAACATTTTTTACACCAGGGGGAGTCAGCACATGCAATGTTCAGATCGACCCAGTCGTCCTCATTCAGATCTATAATCAAGTGCTGTTTGTACCATACGCTTGCTGCAGGTTCCATATCGAACCTTGTGTTCCATAGATCTGGGGCAATTGGATCAGCAAAAGCGTCGTATGCCTTAATGATTCTCCCAAATGCTTTTTGAATCGCTCCTTTGATATGAGGCAGAATGGAGATCGGCACCTATAATGCTTTTACCCAGAAGTAACGTTTCTTCTGAGCCTCATTCCACTCATAGAGCTCGTTCTCGTTCATCCAGTTTCTGAAATGAACAGTGTATTTCCTCCCATCAAGCTCTATGAGATCCGATCCCTTGCGGATCATCCAAGATGCAATGGCTTTTGTACTTGCTACGTAAGTCACCAAACTTTTCCCATCACATCGGAAAACTCCCCTCTTGGGAGCACTGTCGAGCTTCTGTGATCCTGCCCAACCCTCCTCATAAATGCGAACTAGCCGATTCTTAACGGAGGGGGGAACGGTAGATGCATCGTTTTCGAACTGCACTGAAACCGCATGCTCAGACAGCCATTCCGCTTGGATTTCGTAAAATCGAGTGTCTACTATCACCCTAACGTAGTCTTGACCTGTGTCTGCGATGGAAGGTGCAAATTCGTCCGGCAGAATTCCTTTGGCATAACAATCTTCGATCACCCCCCGGATTCTCTTTTTCTCAGTGTTTGACATCTGTAAGCCTATTGGAGGCGGGGGATCTGCCATGCTGCCACTGTGAGGAAAAGCAGCGACCTCCTGGGAGGGACTGCGTTATGTGATAGCACTCCTAATCATCAGCAGGAAACCAGCGTGACATATATGCGCAGGAAAAGAGCATATCCAAGACCTACGACCGCCTGACTCGAGCACTGGGTAGGCTGCCCTTCCTTGAGCTCTACTCCTGCTTCGTCGTGCCTCCACGCTGGACAGAGAGCAAAGCTTTTCGGGGAAAAGTCCTATCCTACAGAATGCTTCTTTCCTCTACTCCGACTCTGTGTGTCTGACCGCCCCTACCAGCTATGTACCTGCTGTACTTCTCCTCCGATATACGAAGTTAACGGAGGCCGTTTGTTTCATCCGATGAGCCCTTGGGCAGTTCGAGCTGGCTATCCCCTTTGAATCCACCCGCCAGAGCGATGTTGCTAGGTCTTGGCTCGATGCTCGTACTCCTTGTGAGCTGGAGAAACGACTTTTACCTCTAGTACGCACAAGGGTGATGGAGAAATGGCCCGCGGGGGAAAGGGATAGGTGTGTTACGGGGGAAGCTCTTTATTGAGATAGCAGAAAATACCTCCTTTGCCGTACTACCCCCCCCCATACCCTTGGGCTATGTTTTACTCCTACCATCGATTGTGCAGGGAGGCCGTTCGTCGTATCAGATGATCCCCTGGGTCGTTTTAGCCGGCTATGCCTCTGAAAACCATCCGTCCTAACGCTGTAGCTTGGTCTTGGCTCAATGATCGTGTTCCCTGTGGAAAGGAGATTTGTCGATTACCTCGATGAAAGATTTTAACCGCTTTTTTGAGGTAGGTTAGAGTAAGAGTCAGGGTGAGGGTGAGGGGAAGGAAAAGTAGAAAGGGAAGTAAATCATAGTGTAACCAATGCCGGTCACTACCCCTCTGGATTATGATTACTTCCCTGTTCTCTCCTCCGTTCTGATATCCCTTCCCCTGCCACTCTTCATTACTCCTACCAACAAAATAAGCATAGCAATAGGTGTATGGAATGATGAGTTTTACCACCTCATTGCACGCTCTTGATGTCTGGTGTCTTCCGATCTCTGCCCGCTGTCTTCCGGACTGGATAAGTCCTGATTGTCCCGAGTGATGCTCCCTTTTGGATGTAGGATCTCTGCTATCCCTCTTTCCCCCTCTGTAAGGCTGTAACTGCTCTAGCTGAGGAGGCTGGCCCGAGTGGCCCTTTCTCCCTTTCTCCCGTACCATGTGAGCCCGCGATAGTGAAGAGAGAGGCAGTAAAACCCTAGGTCACCATGAATGCTTCCTTGCGGATCGAAGGGTTTCTGTTCGGCCAGAGTGATGGAGGGTTTCCTCTCCCATGCTGGATCGGGCGAGAAACAGCGCGAAATAGCGCACTAGCGCGCGGATTAGCGCAGCTCACCGGCCCTTCCCCGCCGCGGGTCCCCTAACTCGTTTTTATGACTCCCCCTGAGCAAGATTTTAGGAAGGGGGAGGAACCTCTTCACCCTACAACTGGCGCCAGATGCTTGCTGCTACTAACTAGTTCCCCCTCCTTGCTGGCCTCCCGTGCTCACTTGCTCAGGGTACTGCACATCAATCAAGCGTCCACTAATCTCTCCACACCAGGGGCTTATTTTGCCAATCAAACGTCCACTGATCTCTCCACATGCACAAAAGACGAAAAATATGGCGGTGTATTGTTTTTTTTTTTTTTTTTTTTTTTTGAGAAGCTGAGTGTTTTGTTTCATGTTCTAGGGGAAGCCTCTTGGGCATTTGAAGAGTAGTGGACCGACGCCCTGGGGCGTGGTCCCACTAGCAAAAAGGATAGAATCGAATGCCTGAATCTGGACGAGTTTACGGAGATGTGCAGGAAATCGAGATTGAACTGCTTTTCTGCATCTCTGCTTAAAACACATCCAGATTCAGGAGCTCGATCCTATCCCTTTTGCTAGTGGGACCTCGCCCCTGGTCACACGAAACTGCGCGTGGCATATGGGACACGGTCGCGACTTTCTCCCTGTCAGAATTTGCGCCAAAAAAAAGTCAATTTAACAAGTGAAAGGAAAAACAAACCTGAAAAAAAAAAAAAAAAAAAAAAACCCTAAAGGGGCTTCCCGCAGGCACTTGGCACCTGATGTATACTGCGGGAATGTAGTCTTGGTACATCCAAATTCTGCGAAGAGCCGGTCGAGTTTGCTTTGTGATCGCATACGTCGTCCTACCCAACCTTTTTTTGACTTTGTTTTAGGTGAACTCTTGGGGGAAAAAAAAAAAAGCATTTGTGCTCACCTCTTGAGGTGGACGCAAATTGCGCACTTCCTCGCGCCGCGCCCCCCCCCCCCCCCCCAAAAAAAAAAAAAAAAAAAAAAAAAAGCCGCACCCCCGCGGCCAGGCAGGCTGGAGATTTTGCGCACCCGTTTGCGTCATTTGCTACCAGGCCCTCACCGTGTGATCCGGCACTATTGCAGAATCTGTGATTTTTGTGAAGACACAAAAAGCTACAGTGGTAGTGGCAGGAGGTGGGATAGGGAGTGTATCCCAAAGAAAGAAAAGAAAAGGAAAGAAAAGAAGGAAGGGATTGTTTGCGTACAATTGAGACGTTTTTTTTTTCTTTTTTTAAATACTTTTTTTTCCTATATTGGACGTCGAATTGAGACGCTTGATTGGCAAAATAAAAATAAAAATCAGTAGCCCGATGTTTCTAGCGAATAGGAGGAGGAGGACACGCAATGGGCACATTGACAGCAGAACGGGAAGCTGAGAACGATGAGGAGGAGGAGAAGTCAAAGGAGAGAGGAGGAGGAGAAGTCAAGGAGCGAGAAGGAGGGACACCAGGTTAGTGCTTGATGGCTATGGTGGACGAGAGGGCGACGCGCGACTTTTTTTGGCGGGGAAAGGTACTCAATGGTTGTGATTTGGCGGGAGAGTGGCGCATGGGTGGTGATTTTTGGCGGGACTGTGACGTGTGGGTTGTGATTTTCTGGCGGGGTAGTGACGAACGAACGCACTCGTCTCGTGGCTTTCTGGCGGGTGCGTGACGCACTGGTTGTGACTTTTTGGCGGGAGAGTGACGCATTGGTTCCGATTGTGATTTTTCGGCGGGAGAGTGGGGGAGAGTGACGCAAAAATTGGTTGTGCTTTGGCGGGAGAGGAATCGCGCGAGCGCGCAAGTGATGGGTTTCCCCATGCCGGTTGCTGACGTGGAATGCCTGTTCCCTTGCTACGTGTTAATTGGCCTGTGACTGTCCAGATGTCGGCTGTGGAATTCATAGCGCGACCACTGACGCTAGCTCAGTTGGTACACGAAAGTACCAAATGATGGAACCAGATGATGGAACCAACGGATTGAAATTGGGGTGTGTGAAATACAGACCCAAGTTTGAATTCACGTGATGAGACCAGATGATTGAAATTTGAAACAATATTTCTGAGCTGCATCAGGCCGGTCAGTGCAATGACTGTATCTCATCCTTTTTTTTCCCTTAAAAAAAAATAAAAAATGCAATGACGGACGACACGTGACATCAGCATGAGAGGCAGCATCGCCATAGCCACGAACACGTGTTCTCTTGTGATTAATCATCCTTAGTCGCCAGAGTGGATAGCCCGTTCCTCCCCCCCTCTCGCCCCCCCCCTCCCCCTCCTCGAGCGGGTAACTCGTCATACGTGGGACGAAGGCAGTGAAGAACGAGCGGGGGGGGGGAGGAGAGATGGAGAAAGAGAAGTAAAAAAAAGAGAAAAACAGAGAGAAAGAAGAAGAAGAAGAAGAATTGAGTTCAATTGAATTGAAACAGCGAGGCCAGTCGCTATGCGTCCATCTCTCAAGGATGAGCATTCAAGCACCTACACGGACTTCCCAGCTCAACGCGCACATTCCCCGATGAGTTTCGCCTGCGCCTGGCTCTACACCAGGACTTCTCAAGGGGCTACCACACTCCCCCATCCACCGTACCAAGAAGAAGAATAGTGATAAACAGAGGCCATAGACTGTCCTTCGTGCATGCTTCAACAGAAATTTCCATGCTCAACCAAATTTCCATGCTCAACCACACGCACTGAGCTCAGAAGAAACGCGCTCATTGCCCTACGCACGTTTCAGCCAGGAAGCGCACCTGGCACTCATCAGGGCCCTTCTCCTCGGATCCGCCTTACGGCACCCACCTACAATGGGCAATGGCCGACACTTGCTCACGAAGACGAAGTACGATATTACACAAAATCAGCGTGTTCTTCAAATCCAGCACGCGCAAAACAAAAAAGAAAAAGAAAACAAAGAGAAGAGAACAAAACGAGAGGAAAAGAGACAACGAAAAACAGAGGAATGTAGGAAAAAACGAGTAAAAAATGGGAGAGAAAAAAGAAATGAAGGAGAAAAAAGAGAGAACCAAAGACAAAAACAAAAAAAGGAGCGAGAGAGAGAGAGAGAGAGAGAGAGAGAGAGAGAGAGAGAGAGAGAGAGAGAGAGAGAGAGCAGAGAATGCGAAAGTAGAGGAAAGACTTGCATAAGCAGGAACGCTTAGCCCCTCTATTCGCTCGTAGGGTGGCAGTGCATAGGTGGGGGCCGGAAGGCGCTGGGCTAGTGGTAAGCCTCCTGATGAGATAGGAGCGCACCCCGTTGAAAAGCGCGGAAATTGGAGCATGATGTACACGCTGGAATCACTAATGGAATATTGATATTGCGTGTAAAGAGCAATAGGACATTGATTGTCTATCTTCTTCTCTTTCTTGTTTTTGTCCTGTTTCCTCTTTGTCTGTTTAAGCCACCACTAACCTCGCCGTCATAAATTAGGGGGAACCTGGAGCACAGGTCCATGAGCGCTACGGGTAGAAACCTATGCTTGCAGGGGTCCCCTGCCTGTAGAGGCTTAGGAGTAATGGGGTAGGTAGGGGTAGTGAAAGGTGAAATTGAGAGAAGAATATAGGTTGGTTTTTATTTTAAGGACGAAAAAAATAAAGTTTCGTTTTTTTTTTCTTTTTTTTTCTTTCCCTGAATGAGTGCTGCGCCCCGCTCACCCATTTACTCACCCATTCTCTCACCCAGTTTTTGGTTGTTCCACCGCACTCACTCCCACTCCCACTCCCACTCCGGCCCCCCCCGGTTTTCAATCCCATTTTCTCCCTTCGCCGCGCCGCCTTTGTGAAGCTGTGCATGTTTACCTCGATCCCTGACGTTCTTTAAGGTGGGGAAAAAAGAAAACAAAAACTGTCTGCTCACTTCGATCGCCGACGTTCTTTAAGGGGAAAAAGAACAAAAAAAAACACAGTCTGCGACTCTGCGCTTTCTCTTGACACGCATCTTTTTTTTTTTTTTTGAACTCTTGACACGCATCTCAGACGCTTCTTGGTCCACTTCATCCTCACACACAAAAAAAAAAGAAGGGGGTAACTTCTGCGCAGTCACGAAAACAGTTTGCAATTGCACTTCAGGCAATCCCGCAAATACAACACACCCCCACGCGACCCCACCGGACCCGAAACGTAGGTCATATACATTCAGCATTACCGGCCCTTTTGCCTCAAGTGCAATTACAAACTCAAACCCTGACTGCGACGTAGTTTTCTCAAAAAAGAAGAAAAAAAAAACACGCACACAGAAAAGGGAAAACACACACACACACACACACACTACAGTTCGCGGCTACGTCCGCCGCTGAAACTAACCTCCTGCCGAGCGCGTGCCGTGATT